TGGGAACATACCTGTGTATGTTTAATGCTTTGGTTGATTTCTGATTTGCAGTCAGGAATAACACATTATAGGGTACCATGAGGTGTCCAAGTAAGAGGGCATCAGCACCCACCGCAAAGTTTCAGCCTTGGTTGTATTATTTTAGGGACCATCTCAGAAAGCAGATGGGTGACAATTCTATGATTGGTGTTTATAAATCTCATTTATGGGTGGGCAGACTAAGTTGAGTAGCAGGCTATCATTTGTAAAAGAAGTAGTGGCAGTCCCTCCTTTAGTAGTAGTCCGGGTTATGTGGTGACTTTTATGGGAAGTTGTCACTTCATCTTAGTCTCAGAGTCACTCCATTTAATACAGGTACTCTGTGCGCCCCAGAATAAATCACCCGCCAATGAGTGTCCAGTCAGCTTGTAATGTGATGTCTGGCTGTGAAAGGCAGATTCAGTTCCAGGCGTTTATTATTTTATATGCTTATACTGTGTACAAAAAAACATATATCGTAGGGCCGGGGAGATGGCTCAGTGGAATAAGCGCTTCCCTGGCAAGCGCAAGGGCCTGAGTTCAATCCCCAGTTCCGCAAAAAAAAAAAAAAAAAAAAAATATCGAACACACTCATCTTACTTCGGATGCTTCTTTAAAATGAACTATTTTTTTGTTTGTTTTGGTAAGCATAGTTTTAAGATATATTAACAGAAGTTAAGGATTCTCTTGTATACTCTGATTTCTACATAGCTTTGATATGTAGAGCCATGGGCTTCCCAGGGCTGGAAGCCTGGTCTCCTCTGGGGCAGGATTAAGAGGAAGTAGAATCTTCAAGAGCCCAGGCCTAGTGGGAGCTGGGAGGTCATGGTGGATACCAGCCTCAGAAGGGATTAACATGACCTTCTGCGGACTCGTCCTGGTCCTGAGAGTGCATTCTCAAAAGAGAGCAAAACTGGCCCCTTGTAGGCCTCTGTACCCTCTCTTGCCATGTGATCCTTGTCACATGCACTGCCATTGCTGTGATGCCCTCTGCCCTGACCCCTACCAGAGCTGAGAAGTCAACATTGTACCCTTGAGCCTCAGAATTATGAGCTAAGTAATAACTCTCCTTTCTTTATGAACTACCCAGCCTTAGAGGTTTTGTTGTGGTAACAGAAAAGGGACTAATGCACAGTATTTTCAGTATATCAAGACTCATGAGAATTTCTTCTGTGTGAAAGTGGTGTCAGATGTTCTTGCACCTGGAAAACTTACATCACTGGCAAATGAGCAGAAAACAGAAGATTGCTTCTTTGATCCAGGTAGAATGTGGGTCATGGTAATTGTGGGCAGAGTGGAGGAGCATTTTTAGAACTATTTAAAAGGTAAGAGTATAGAGAGCGGTTGGTCTCTGTGTGTTCTGTTGTACCCCAGGGAGAAGTGACGGCTGGAAGGAGGAAAATGTAGACAAGAAGACAAGAGCTGGGTCAGATGGTGGCCCTCTTCCTCTTGGGCAAAAGGATCCCTAACACAACAGTAGGGGCGATTGTTTGTTTTGATACAGGGTCTCGTTACACAGTTCAGACTTGTACTGAGCCTCCTGTCTCAGCCTGTCCAGCACTGGGGTTACAGGCGTGTGCCACCACACCCACTTCTGGGGGTGGCGTGCCACACACTACTGGAGATTGAACTCAGAACCTTGCGCTTGCCAGGCAGGTGCTTATGCTGCTGAGCTATACCCCAACTTAGGGGTGTTTGTTTAGGGGTAACCTTTGCAGGTTACCTAGTGACTAATAGCTGACATTAACTAGTCAGGATGCTTTTGTCAGGACTGAGGTAGCTTGAGTGCTTTAGGCCCTGAGGCCTAGTCCCACTCTCACACATTTGGCCAATTGCCATCTTCCATGGCTCCCAACAGTAAAGCGACCAGAACTTGTCAGAGTGTCGGAATGTAGTATGTAGTATGTAGTAAAGCCAGAAGAGTGGAGGATGATACCTACCTAGTTCTCTTACTTTGTCTGAGTAAGAAATGAAACTTCTCACCAGGTTGGGCAAAGGGGAGAAGTTGGCAGAGAGGACTGAACTGCGAGCAAGAATCTATCCAGTAGCATCAGTCTAGCTGGGGCTGTCTGGTTGCCTCCAGTCAGTGCTGTGTGTGCCTCACAGCTGACAGAATGTTCATCTATCTCCTTCCTTCATTGTTTCTTAACATCCTGAGTTCTTTTGTTATAGTCTCCATATAGGCAGGTGTGTGTAAGTGACAAAAGTAGCACCAGAAGGTTGTTCGACCTGGGTAGGGGTGTAAGGGAAGCTGAGGTGGGTGTCTTGATGGCTGTTGTGATCAAGGCTTGACATCTGTACTTTAGCAATTTGTGCCTCACTTGTCTACAGAAGTGGGCTGGACCTACAAGCCAGGTTCCGAAGCTGAACTGTGCACTGGCTAGACTGCCAGTGTGGGCGTAATACAATGTCAGCGCCTGGCCTGGGAGTCGGTGCTGCCTGTGGACTCCACTGGTGTTGGAGGAGTGAAGTCCTCCCAGAAGAAAGGGGGCTTGCGTCTGGGGGATCCAGCACAGGCATGGGGTCTGCGTGTTTGCCACTGTCGTTCAAAACTTTGCCAGTTTTTTTTTTCCCCCCCGAACTGCTCTGCACGTGTAGAAACATTATGAAAGGAAGAAGAGAAAAGAAAGGAATTAAACTGTATTTGTCACTGTGAGTAGCAAATTAAGAGGGTTTTTTTTGTTTTTGTTTTTGTTTTTAGATTTTATTTTCCCTAGTACATGTTTGCAGTGCATGATGCTTATCATTTGTTTTGTTTGTTATACTTTGAACTACTTTTAGGAAAGGAGCCATGCTGTATTTAAGCTAGAAGGGTTTTTTTAACCAATTTTTTTTCTGACATCATGAACTCATCTAAAGAAACAGTGTAGCTAGCTAGCTTTAAAAAGCAGTGCTGTGGTGGATATATGAACTGTGTAGGCACCAAGGGAATCTGAGCTATTAAATTTGCTCTTGATTTGTTCTTACCATTTTGTTTCTTTCCCTCAAGTATTTTCCCTGAGTTCATTGACTTCTAAACCTTAAAACAGATTTCTTTCTCCTATTAAGAACTTTTATTTTTCCAGCTTATATTTTGAATCAGAACATACAACTTAAAAAAAACCCTAAATTTTTATCATATGTGAAAATAGAGCTTTTTTTTTTTTTTTTTTTTTGGTGGTACTGGGAATTGAACTTGGGACCTTGCACTTGCTGGGCAGGTACTTATGCCACTGAGCCCTTTCCCCAGCCCAGGAAGAGCTTTTGGATGTGACAGTTGCTTTCTATGTAAAATTAAAGCAAAACTATTTTTGTACATGAATACATGCATGTATTCATAGTTTTATTAAGTTGACACCTATTTTCAAAATCATGTGCCATTTTCTCAGATAATCATATTAAAAATGATTTAAGTGAACTTGCAAAGATAAAAAGAAATCTAGCTGGATGGTGGTGGTGGGGCTAGATTTTAGACTAGTGGTATAGAAGTAGTGTTAGTCTGTGATTGGTTCCTTTGTTACCTTGGTTACTCCCATAAGCACAAGACAATGCTTTTCATTTTAAATCCTTCTTACCTGCCTGATTTGATTTGTGCCTTGGGGAATTTAAGTTCTCCACTAATCAGGATTTTTAAAACATTATGACAATAGTTTAGTGTTTATATTAATAGTTTTTCCTTAGGAATTTATTTTCCTTATTTTACTTTATTTTATTTTTTTTTTTTTATGAGCAGAATATACTTATTGAGAGAAAGAAAGCTCCTGTCCCGAGAGAGGGACAGGAGGGGGACCCGAGTGGGAAGTTTCCCCTCCTGTCCCGAGAGAGGGACAGGAGGGGGACCCGAGTGGGAAGTTTCCCCTATTTTCCTTATTTTTTAATAAACATTCATAACATACAAAAATCATTGTATTAAGAATGAATGTTAGTAATTGGCATGTGAAAAAATAATGGATTTTCTTAGTTATATCCTAGAGAAAAATCTTAGCATTTAACTTATTGCTAGAAAGTGAGGACAGATAGAATTGGATGACTTTTGAATTTCTTGAAGGAAAATTGTGGTATCTTAACATACAATTTTGAAAATATCAGAACTCAGAAATTAGTAAGCACTCAACTAATAGGCTGATAAAATAAATTCGTATTCCTGAAGAACAAAATGCCTGAGGTGCGCTTCTCATGGCAGCCAGGACCGTGCGAGCTTCACGGAGTAAGTGACCTAATGGCAGCATAGCCGGGTCACTGTGTGAAGATGCAGTGCCTGCTGTTTGGTTAGGACTGAAATCTTCATTTTGAAGAAAATAATTAAAAAATTTCTTTATGTGACTATTATTTTTGATGTAATTTCTAGAAGAGTAAGATATTTAAAAAACAGTTCTTGGGGCCGGGGAGATGGCTCAGTGGAATAAGCACTTCCCTGGCAAGCGCAAGGGCCTGAGTTCAATCCCCAGTTCCGCAAAAAAAAAAAAAAACAAAAAAAAAAACCAGTTCATAAGGGGGCCAGGAGATGGCTCAGTGGAATAAGGGCTTCCCTGGCAAGCGCAAGGGTCTGAGTTCAATCCCTGGTTCCACCAAAAAAAATAAAAAAAGAAAAAAAAAAAACAATTCATAGACTTTTCAAACTGGGAAGTACGTTGGAATTGGCTGGTTTGGGTATTGCACTCTGTGACTAATGGTATAGAAAATCAAAAGTGTGGAGAAGTGAACTGTCCCAGATGACGCATTTGGTCAAAACCCAGATCTCAGTCTGGTTTCATAGTGTAGTGCTTTTCACCTTTTAATATGTAATATTCTCTGAAAAGCAGCGTAGCTTCTATTTAAAACAAAAAGCTGGGTGCGTGCAGAGGATGGGTGTGTAAGTTTATTACATGTCTCCAGAGCGTAGTCCCGCTCTGCCAAACCCAGGCTGAGGAGTTCCCCGAGCCAGGCCTCCAGCAGCCGCTGTCCAGGCAGCATGCATCCGTGCTGTGGCCGTGGTGCTAATGAGAGTGATCTTTTCCTTTTAGGTGAGAGTTACGTGTGTGCATCCAATGAGCCATTTCGTAAAGTTGATTACACCAAAAACATCAACCCGAACTGGTCTGTGAACATCAAGGGTGGAACCACTCGAAGCTTGGCCTCCGCCGCCCCTGTGAAAAGCGAAGTCAAAGAGAGTAAAGACTTCATCAAACCCAAGTTAGTGACTGTGATCCGGAGTGGAGTGAAGCCCAGAAAAGCTGTGCGGATCCTTCTGAATAAAAAGACTGCCCATTCCTTTGAACAGGTCCTAACTGACATCACCGAAGCCATTAAGCTCGACTCCGGAGTGGTCAAGAGGCTGTGCACCCTAGACGGAAAGCAGGTAAGAGCTTCGGGCCACTGGCTTTCCGCTCTCAGGCCTCGGTGGCTCTGGATCCAGCTGCGGATGTGTGGTAGGGTGCTGGAGGTAATTCCACTCTTCCTACTTGAGGAGCAAGGGAAGGGCGGGGCGGGGAGGAAAACTGAGTTCATATTTATCATGAGAAATGTAAATGTAAAAGTCTCCTCATGTCCATCCATATACCTTGAGCTGTCGAAGGGAAAATGTATGTTTCCTAGGGAAAAATGTAAGTTGTAAAGTATCCTATTTAAGTGGGACATTGTTTATTTAACATGAAGACTTCACTGTTGATTAGTAAAGATTTTATTGGCTTGAGTACCACAGAAGTCAAAATGAAAGGTATTGAACATACTGTATTTGGAAGAGCCTTTTGTTGTCATTTATAAAAAATGCATTTCAGAGGAAAGTGCTTTTATAGGAATATCCATGTGTGTTTTATGCAGAGCAATGGAGACAATTAGCCTTTCTGAACAATGAATACCAACTGCCCAGAAAAATGCAAATAAAATTATGGTAGCAGGTTGCCCGGGAATCTCGGGGACTAACAAATCTCAGGGACTAAGAAATCTTGAGCACATTACTGTAGCACATGAATAGCAGTTACATAAAGGTAGACTTTTGCTAAAAAAGAAACAACCAATTAAAAGAAATAATGTCTTCTAAAGTGTATTTTTTCCAATTTCCTTAAAGTTGTGTATATTTGTACTGTATGAAAAAAATACAGTTTCTAATATTAGTTTCTTCCATTTAGTTTCTTCCCCATAAATTATTTTGATGTAGCTCTCATATTGCTGAGAATGAATAATAAGAAACTGCAGTGTCTTCCAGAAAACACAAATTAGTTCTTAATTTCAAAGACCAGATCTCTTTGCTAGGTTATTTTCTGCAACATTGAAAAACAGGTTCTAGGAGGCCGGGAGATAACTCAGTAGAATAAGCACTTGCCTGGCAAGCGCAGGGGCCTGAGTTCAATCCCCGGTTCTGCAAAGGAAAAAAAAAAAAAAAAAGAAAAACTGGTTCTGGCTCCATGTGGTGGATAATTCCCATAATCTCAGCACTCAGGAGGCTGACACAGGAGGATTGCTACAAAATGAGGTCACCCTGCACTAAACAGAGTTCAAGGCCAGCCTGAACTGCATAGCGAGACCCTGTTTCAAATACACATACTCACTCTGGAACCTAGTGTGTAATTGAATGGTAGTGTATATGCGTAGCATGTGTGAGGCTGAGGGTTGAGTCCCCAGAACTAAAGATAAATGTAGAAATAAAAGATAGGCTTTGAAATTGCAGTAGAAGGTGGCAAGATTAATCTGTCCAAATTAATTAATGCCTGATATACTTCTCAGCACCATATCTCAAAATAGGTTCACGGTATTAATGATAAAAGGCGCTTTGTATAATGAAGTTAATACCCCCGTGTAACACAGAACACCTTGAGAGTCACTTCATGTGTAGATAAAAGTAAAGGAGGCCACAAACAAGAGGTACAGAAGATTATTTTTATTGTATGTTTGCAGTGTGCAGCAATTTATCATGGCGAGTTGGCCCATGTAGATGACACATCTTAATTCTTTTTATCTCCTCTTCCTTTGGAAAAGTAGGTGGTTGTTTCTTGGTGGGCGCAGAAGTGTAGGATGTATCCACACAAATGTTTAAGATCTAATGGAAAGGCAAACCTAAATATGCCTAACTGGAAAAAACAACGTATGACTAGTAATTGATGATGAGATTTTCATAATGAGACCTCACATTTGGAAATCTCCAAATACATAACATTCATTGAAGATACTAAGTGAAATAAAGAAGTTGAACATTTAATTAAAAGGGACTGTAGAAATTTTAATAGCTACCTAGCAAATTCTCTCGAAAAATACTTCAGAAGTGGTTTTTTTGTTTGTTTGTTTGTTTTTGTTTTTGTTTTTTGGCTGGCTCAGGATGCCTTCAGGGCAGGTCTGGGAAGGCTTGAGGATCTGGGGATCGAAATACTTCAGACTGGAACTATACAATGTTGACTAAGTACAAGCAGCTCAGACCATCAGCGTGTTCAGAATAATGCAATGTGATGAGTAGGATGTGTGCCAGAAAGAAAAAAAAATTGCGCGCCATCAGAAGCCCCTAGCCGGGCGTGGCGGTGCGCACCGGTGCAAGCCTCGCACGGTGCTCGGGAGGCTGAGCAGCAGGATCACGGTGGGCTTGAGGCCAGACTGGAACACAAACTGAGTTTAGGCCAACCTGAGCTGCATAGCAGAACTCTGTCTTAAAAGACCAAAAAAACCATTAACAATGAAGAAAACTCCTGTATACCTGAGAACTGTAGGATAAAGGGTAAGTTCACACATGTAATTCCAGAAAGATGTTGCAAAGACCCTGGACAAAGTGCAGAAACTGTGTTCTGTTGTTAAGCTGGATGAGCTGGCTGCTGCCTTATAATCTGAGCAAGGCTGGAAGGCCAGACAAGAAGGTCACAGTTTGAATCCTGTCTGGGCAACTTGTCGGGGCCATGCCTCAAAATAAAAACAGAAAGGGCTGGAGATGTAGCTCAG